TCCTGGTGGGACTGTTTCATCCCCTCCCCTGGAGAGTGATACCCTCACGGAGGCTTTTCATAAACACCTATTTATAGGCTGCAAACTCCATGAGGGCAGGACACTGCTTGTCTTGTTCAGCGGTACCTTCAGCACTGGCTGCAATGCGTGGCCCAGAAAGGTGGCTGGCTCATGCGCGTTGAATACAGAATTAATCTACCTCCTCTGCCCTCCAGCATAAACAGAGGGCACGACGGCAGCAGAAGTTATGGTGACAAAGGTGGCAAATCTGCCAGGGGAAAAACCATGACCTGTGACAAAGCCACAGGAAATCTTTTTCAGAGGCTCTGCACCGAGAGAGAGGACTGGTGTGGATGCATGTGTGGGCAGGCCTTCCAGCTGACCTGGGTCCTGATGCGCAGTTGGCTTCGGGTCCCTTGGGGTGGGGCCTGTAACTTACCTTGTCTCTCTGGCTCCCCAGGGAGAACTTAGTTGCTAAGGCAAAGACCTAGGGAGCATTTCATCTCCCACCAAAAGCCCCACATTCACACGAGATAGATATAAGGTCCTTCCTAGGAGGGAATCCGGTTGAGCAGGTGAAGGAGGCCTGGCTGCAGAGTCCTGAGCAAGCAGGAGAAGGTCAGGGGTGTGTGACTCACACAGATTGGATCAGAGGCCCCGGCATGCAGGTGGCGAGGAGGATTTTATCCCCCCATTTACCAGCCACCGATTACGTGCTCACTGTGCCAGGGACTCGGCTAAGTGCTTCACGGGTAATCTCATTTAATTCTCATAAGAGATGCAGCAAGGTGACGTGACTCACCAGGTCACTTGGCTGGTTTGAGATGGAATCAGATTCTGCACACAGGCCTGTCCGTGCCCACAGGCATGCTCTTCCACCCCCCTCTCCTCTTCCCCCCATTTCAGGGCTTTTTGCTCCCTTGGGTTCTTCTTCCAGGGCCACGGGGATGTGGGAGAGAAGGAGCGTGAGAGGGCATGTTCATGGAGAGATTAGATTTCCAGGAAACGAGGGCTCAGAACAAGAAGGCCTGGCCTGAAAACGGCTGCAGGAGAGGCGAGAGCTAGGATCGGAGGGCGGCTAGCCTCGGGGATTGGGAAGAGGAGCCCCGAAGAGGCAGGGCAGGGCTGGCTGACCCCTGACGTGAGGGCCTCTTCTTGCTCCGAGCCAGAGGCAAGATCAAGTGACCTCTTGAGGTTTCAAGACACGAAGAGACAAAGCCCAGAGCAGCCGGGGCCTGGCCCCGGTCCGGGCATGCCTGCTGACCCTGCTGGACGGTGGCCTTGGGAACTGCTTCCTGCTCTGGTCAGGCCCCAGCTGGTGTAACCTTGGAAGACCTGTGACATTTCTCTTGGACTCAGATCCAGGCCCGAGAGGGAGCAGGGAGGAGAGGGGGACTCGAGATTCCTGAACACCTTGGAGGGCCCTTCCTACCCTCCCCCGCTCCTCCCAGGGCATGGCAGGGCCCAACAAGGAGCCAGTCTGTCTGGCTTTGCTTTCCTAAGGGACTAGAGAAGAGGTCTGTAAGGGCCCAGGTGCCCGCGACCCCCACCCCTTTTATTCTGTCCCATTAGCTCAGCTCCCAGACCGGTCTGGTCCCACATTCTCTACTCTGGCTCCTCAGAGCTCTCCTCTTCTAGTTCCCATTGGGATGTGACCTGCCCTGGCCCACAGTTCCCTCTGCCTGGAAGGCCCCTCCCCCATTCTCCAGTGTCCAAATCTTGCCTACTCTTCAAGGTCGAGCTGAAATGCAGCTTCTTCTGCAGAACCTCAACATCCATTTAAAATGTCAGGCCCAGGAACAGTTGCAGGGAACATCCGACCAATCTGTCATTTTGTGGGTGGGCAGTCAGGGGTGTGGGGCGGAGGGGGAGCAGTGTGGCAGGGGACATGGGGTGGGGGTGATGCCAGAACTGGGTTCAAATGCTGGCTCCACCACTTACTAACTATGGGTCCTCTGGGCAAAGTTCATCGCTGCACCTTTTTTCCTCAACTCCCTGACTGAGGGTAGGGACTCGCCTCCCAGGCTGCTGAGAAAGGCCAGTAAAGTCGTGCTGCACCAAGAGCCCAGCACAAAATGTGTCCCTTTTCTCACCAGAGGGGCAGAGGGATGACTTCTGACCTCAGCACCCACCTTCCTGGAGCACAAGCTTTGTTGCTCCCTGCCTCTTGGCACCTGCCACTTCCCACCCGGTGTTTTCAGGTTCTTTGTGTACTTGTTTTAGCTTCCTGGGGTGGACGCTGACCTCTGAGAGCAGAGGTCATGGCTGCTTTGTCTCCCCGTGTCTGGCACTGGCATGGCATGGAGGGGCTCAAGATGTGGCTCAGCGGAAGGACTGCTTCTCCGTGCCCGACACCGAGTGCTCAGTCTGTTGGCGAATGAGCCTGTCGCTGTCCTCTCTGCTTACGTCCTGTTGACAGGGACACCCCCTCTGCTAACTCTTCTTCCTCACCATTCCACTCCCCTGTATCCCCAAACCTTCGCCCCCACAGTGATTTTAGTCAGTGCCTGGCCCTGGAAGGCTGTCTCAGGAGAGGGAACTGGGGTGCCATCTCAGATAAAGGGAGGCAGCTCTACCATGGCCTTGGTCAGAGCCGTCTGCAGTGCCTGCGTGGGCTCCCTCCTTCACCACCTGCCCTGCTCCACCGAGACCCTTGGCACGTCCCAGCTGAGGGCTCCCTATTTGTCTTGGAAGACAGTTCAAACTCCTTCCGATGCCCGGCATGATTCTGGCTTTGCCTGCCTCGCCCCCTCACTCAGCGTTACTGTCTTCAAAGCTGAGCTCCTTCCTGCCTCAGGGCTTTACCCACTGCTGTCCCCTCTGCCCAGAATGCTCGTCCCACTCCATCCTTGAAGCATCAGCTTCGGGATCTGGTCAGCTTGCAGCAGTCTCATGGCCTCCTAGCTTTTCTTCTCTTTGCAGTCCTTCCTACGGTGATGTTTCCCAAATGCTTTGCGCCATTCTGTTTACTGTCTTTCCCTCTAAACTGGAATCCCCCCACCCCACCCCAGGACCAAGATCTCATTTGTGGTATTCACTGTGGTGTCCCCATGCCTGGCACGTAGTGCGTGCTGGACAGATGTCTTTGGAATAACTGAATGCATTGGTTTGAGGACAGTGCTGTCAACTCCTAGCTCTGAGCAGGGAGCAGGGCCAGAATGTGGGGCTGGATGGTGTCCCAGTTCCTCCTGTGTTCAGGCCTCACTGGTGGCTCCATTATGTATCGCACTGAGCTGTGACCTGCCCAAACACCCAGCCCCCACACCTATTTCTTTTCCCACCCAGAGCCTGGGAGGAATGGTTTTCGGATTATTTCACATTTCTGATTATCCATGAGACATCTCCCCTCCAGTGAGAAGGATCAAGAGTTTGACATTTTAAACCCTAAGCGGCTTCCCCCTGGCCTGCTTCAGATCTGTGGCTCTACTGCTTGCAGTAAGACGCACGGGGAATGGAAGGCCATTTTAATCTCGGCCTGGCTTCATTAGGAGGAAAAATAAGCTGCCCTCCCCCCCAAATACGTTTGATCCATTGTGTATGGCATGCAGAGTTGCAAGGGCCTAAGAGTATCAAAGTAAATTTCCTTGAACAAATGGGGAAACAGAGGCCGGAGTGGGGCGGGGAGGGGGGGGGGATAAAAGCTTGGTCAAGGGCATATAGCAAGTTGATGGCCAATTGGGGAATGGTCCTTCTCTAGGCCTCCTGCCTCCCACATGCTGCCCTTTGCCACCTTCAGGCACCAAGGGAGCTGAGGTCAGGCAGGGAGGGTGTAATAAGTTTCCACTGACATGACTTCAGGACCCTGAGTCACCCTGGCCTTGAATGGCCTCCCCAGATCAGGGACGGGGCTTTCCAGGAGCCCTGCTATTCTTTCTCAAGGAAGAGCCGCTCCCAGGAGGCCGCAGTGGCAGCAGAGGTGAAGAGAGAGGGGCTCAGACAGGCCCCCAGCCCACTCCACCGCCACCACACCTGAGCCAGTCCTGTGACGGGTCCGTTGTTCAAAAGTGGGATCTGAGGGGCCAGTTGTGCCTGTATTTCTGGAGCAGGCTGTTCATCAAGAAAATGATTTCTCCAACCTTCTCCCCTTTTATTCTCCTTTCCTAAAACATAAAATCTCGAGAGCATAAAACTGGGACTCTAACTACGGAGGTCACAGTGCCTGATAAAGACATCTGAATATCTATCAATATTTAACTGAACTCTTGGAAAAGCATTTGGCTTCAGGAAAGGGCCTGGCTTTTTCTAGGCAGGAAACATCCTGCCCGGGGATGACCCACTGACACAGGCTCAGCAGGATCCCAGCACCCCCTCCTCCCCTTCTGGGTCCCCACCCCACATGCCCGACCACGGTGAGCCCACCTCAGGCCAAAGACTTTGAAAAACAGCCTTTGGGGGGACCATGGGTGACCAGGAAAGGATACGCCAGGCCCTTCTATGAAGCCCGTAGAGAGTGTATGACCCGACATCCTGGCTGCACCTTTAACCTGGCCCTTACCAGACTGCGCCTGAGACTAAGTGAAGCTCGTAGGCAAACGAAGGAGCAGGTCAGGGTCGGTACCTTGGATGGGCCCTGGCAGACAATTACACAGCCTGCCTCCCCTTCACAGAGCAACTCAAACGCCCTCCCTTACGTGAGGTCAAGTGGTGACTGTTTCCTGGGACTCAAATGTGCCTGTCAAGGCCCTAGCATGAATGAAGGAAATATCTTGATGAACCAAAATAGATGAGACTGTCCAGTGTACGGCTCTCCTGCCATTTCAATAACATCCAAGTCCCATGCTGGGTTCTGCGCCCAAGCAACCCATTTCCATAAGACTGTTCCCAAAATCTAACCCTGGACTCCCTACTGAATCCCAACTCCTTGTTTTCAGGCCCCCAATCTTGTCCTTAAATTCTTCCCGCTCATCACTATACCTCTTCTCCTCGGCCAACCTCTCATGTCCCCATCTCCGCCCCAACCCCCAGGCCTCTTCCCACTGCACCCGCATCCCCAGACTCACCCAGGAACAAAACCTCGAGGTCCAGTCGGCACTTCAGTTGGCACTACAGGGAGGTGACGGTGAATGTGTCCTCAGGGTGAGGTTCCGCCATGGGCCCCAGGAAGCCGCTCTTGGGGCCCCCACCCAGGCCGGGATGCGCCTGTGGCATAAAGCCTGGATACCTATAGGTGGTATCCTGCAGGGGCAACAGTGAGTCCCTTGGCACAGGGGACAGGGTCAAGTCACTAAGGAGCGGGCAGCCATAGCCAGCAGCGGCTACAGCAGGGCCACGGGGTGGACCAGGTGGCCGGCCCATCTCCAGGGGCTCCTTGTCGGCCTTGGGTGTGGCTGGTGGGCTAGCCAGGTGTGGGGCACTGAGGCACGCAGCCTCCGTCCTGCCCAGGAAGTCAGCTAGCAGCCCTGTGCCCACCTTGCCTTCATAGGGTGGGCTGCGTGCAGCTGAGCCTGGCGGGTACCAATATGCTGTGCCCTTGCAGCTGGGGGAGTCGTAGTGGGGTTGGCCCAGTGGCAGGTCCCGGCAGCTCAGGTGGGCCTGGGCTGCAGCCGCATGGCCTAGGCTGGCCCCCTGGAGCCCATGCTTGAGGGGCTCACAGGCAGCCAGCTTTGTGGGTGGCGGCCGCAGCTCTTCCTTGAAGCCCAGTGTTGGTGAGCAGGTGGGTGAGTACGCCTTCTGCAGGCCAGCATCAAACACCGTGGGCGGGTGGGCCAGTGGTGGGAAATGCTTGCCATCCAGCTCGGGGGCACCCAGGCTGGGCGAGTCGCAGTGGAAGCCTTGGCCAAAGGTGCCATCAGATGGCGTGGACGGGTTCATGGAGTAAGGTCCCATGAAGTCACAGGGGTCTCGCTCACCCACACCAAAGGCCCTTGACTGCGAGGGCAGTGGTGACATGCTGCTGTCCCCACTGTAGTAGTCCAGGCCGAGGTCTGGGCTGTCCTGGAACAGCGGGTTGACCGGCTGTGGCTTGGGGATGAACTTGGCTTTGGCTGCTGCGCCGCCCCGCTCCTTCTTTGCTGAGCAGGCCCCACCGCCCCGTCCGCCCCGTGGCTGCCGGGGCCCTGTGCTCCGTTTGGACGGGTAGCCTGAGGCAGTGGCTGAGGCGGATGATGGGAAGCCCAGATGTGAGGCCTCGAACAGGTCGACCTTCTTCCGCCGTCCGCGGCCTGGCTTAGAGCTGCTCTGGAAGAGGACGCTCTGGTTCCAGTTGTAGCCGGGGGCAGATGAGGCCTCGTTCCAGTCCATCATGAGTTTCTCCAGGCTGGACAGGCTGGACTGGCCCTCACTGCTCGAGGCCTCGCTGTTGGCACGCCTAAAGCCGCCTCCGACCGGCTGATTGAACTGGGTGCTGTCGGAGGACGACTCAGAGAAGGTCTCGGACATGGCTGTCTGCTGCTTCACCTTCTGTGGCGTGTAGTTGGAGATGTCCAGGATCACGTTGGGCTCGCTGACATGGCAGTCGAAACCGGGATTGTAGAGCTGACTGAAGGCCTCCGAGGCCCAGTCCAGGCCTCCATAGCCCTGCCGGAAAGGCCACTGAGAAGCCCCCACAAACTGCCGACAGTTCTCGGGTGAGGGCTGGAAGGAGGAGGAGGAGGAGGAGGCAGCAGAGGCTGTGGTGCCCTTGGGCACCATGTAGCCGCCAGGCGAGACAGTGCTGGCCCGGCTGTCACAGCGCAGGGGTGTGGGGGCTGAACCAGAGAAGGCAGCCCCCTCAGAGCTGTTGAAGAAGGAGGCCTTGCCTGGTGGCAGGCAGGGGCCACCGGTAGGCGGTGGGGCGTAGCCAGCGCTGTGGGCACTGCTGGGCGAGGCGGGCAGGCTGTTGCCGCTGCCATAGGCAAAGCTGCAGTCCTTGCTGTTAGCACAGTCTTGGCCCGTAAAGGGCTTTGCTGGGGCGAATACACTCTGTCCAGCCCCATAGCCACCGTACTGGGGGGTGTAGGTGTTGGCCGGCGGGTGGGTGGTGGGTGAGCGGGCCACAGCTGAAGGCGGAGGAGCCAGCTTCGGAAAGGTCTCCGCTGCCCGGCAATCTGAAGTGGCTGGGGTTATCCCGTAGCTCCCTGCCCGGCCTGGTGGGAAGGTCTGGCGAGCAGGCAGGACAGGCTGAAAGGAGGGGTCCGCTCCAGGCCCACTGCTGCCCACCGCCACTGGGCTGGCCTTGGCTCCCCGGCTGGGGAATGTGGCCAGGCCCCGCTGGGCAGGCAGGGCGCTGGTTGGGGGCCCCGCATAGGTGCCCGATGTCTTCCGGGACTCGGGGCCAGGGCGTGAGGCTGAAAGGGCAAAGTCCAAGAGGTCGGAGGAGTCATCCGAATCGAGCAGGGAGCGAAAATAGCCAGTGAAGAGGTTTTGGCGCTCCTGGCTGAGCTCGTTCTGGCCCGCAGGCGTGCCCGTGCTGTAGTAGCTGCCACGGCCTGAGGTCCCACTCTCTAGCCCAGTAGAGGCAAAGGCCCGGGCCTCAGTCCCCTGGAACCCACAGTTCCGGCCAGCTTGCCCACCTGGGTGCCCGTGGTGAAGGGCCCAGCCACCACCCTTGTCCCCGGCCCATTCGGCGCCTGCCTCCCCAAAGCCGGGGCCACTGGGCACCTGCTCTGGGAACAGAGTCCCATTCTTCCGGGACCGCCTCTTGCGTTTGGGCTTCCCAGTGAGGGCATCCACCTCCCCACGGCCCCGTTTGCGGGGATGGCCCAACTCGGTGAGGCCGGGGCCCCCCACCCCGGCAGCTGCCACTGCCACCACCTTCTTCTTCTTGCCGATGCCCTCAAAGAAGTCACTGAAGGAGCATCGGGCTGCCTTGGCCGCGTGGCTCCCACCCCGGCCACCGAAACCACCTGCTTTGCCACCACGCCGCCGGAAGCCCTGCACGCGATGCAGGAAGTGGGAGATGCTCTGGGTGTCGGGTGCCTGATGCACCGACTCGGGCTCGCTGGGTGTCCAGCAGCGGGGCGGAGAGCAGCGCCCGGCACACTGGCTCTGGCGGTTCAGGAAGGCCAGCTTGGCCAGGACGTCTGAGTACTCGGCCTTGCTGTCATTGGCGTCGGCGGCGTAGGACGGCTGGGGAGATGCCAGCTTCTGCTTCCGCCGCCGCCGTTTCTTCACCTCCGGCATGGCCATGGTGGCTGCTGCCACAGTGGCGGCCTCAGCCGCCACCACGGCTGGCTCCTTGGGCTTGCCGGGACCCAGCAGGAGGTTCTTAGGAGGGCGGCCGCGCTTACGTTTGAGGATAATGGGCATCTCGCCGGGTGGGAAGACCACCACCACGTTCCGTCCATTGTTCTTCATCTTCAGCAGCGGGGTGGGCTCTGCCGACACACGCAGGCCCAGCTCTTTGCCCTCCACGCTCAGGCTGCTGCTCAGAGAGGACACCTTGTATGTGGTCTTGTTCCGCCGACCCAGCGACACAGGGATCTTGGCCATCTTCACCACCATGCGGCGTACGCCCCGGCACTTGCTTTTGCGGGCAGGAATCATTGGGTTCTGGGAAGATTCCGGCTCCAGCTCTGGGCCTGGGCCTGGCAGGGCAGGAGGTGGTGGAGGCGGTGGTGGTGGAGGCTCAGCCAGGGCGGCCGCCATCCCTGTGGGCATAGGCAGGGGCAGCAGGCGGCCCTCAGGTCCGGCGTCTGCCTTGCGCCCCCGACCAGCTTTCCGCCGGCGACACAGAATCTTTGGCCTATCAGTGCGCCGCAAGGCGTACTTGGGGAGTCCCTCAGCCCCAGGGGGACCATGGGGTGAGCATAAGTCCAGGTGCAAGGGCTCGGCCAGTGGGCAGGGCCCTAGGGGCTGCTGGGGCTCCAGACGACGGCCGGGGACGTCAAGCAATTTGGGCAGGGGGTCAAGTCCCTGAGGGTCAAGCAGCTGTGACTCCAGGGAGTCAGGCAGGGTGTCCAGGGCCTGCAGAGACAGGCTTGGCAGCCCCAGAGGATCAGCGAGAGGTTGCAAGGGCGGCAGCTCCAACGCTTCCCCAAGCGGTTCTAGTGCCTGTGGGTCCAGGAAGCGGGGCTGGGGGTCCAGGAGCTGAGGCTCTGGCTCAGGCGATGGGGGCTCAAGGGCCTGGGCCTCCAGCAGCTGGGCCTCGGGGCAAGTAAGGGAGGCCAGCTCATTAAGGATGTCGGCATCAGCGAGTTCTGAGTAATCAGGGCCGTCTGGCTCAGGTTCCGGGGGCAGGCCAGTGGCCGCGGCCGTGGCTCCGGGACTATGGCCTTGACTGGGCTGAGGACTGTCTCTCGGCTCAGGCTCAGGCTCATAGAGGGGGTGACTGGGCCGCTCAGACTTGGCGTGGGGGGTAGGCCGCTCCTCTGGGCTGCGGATGCTGTTGGCCAGACTGGGGGAGGAGAAGAAGCTATACTGAAGGTCACCAGGGGGTGGGGCGGGCGGGCGGCTAAGCCGGAGACCACCGCAGTCCAGGTGCACACCGCTGTGCTGCAGGTCTTGGGAGAGCCGGGTCAGGTCCTTCATGATGTCAATCAGCTGCACCACTGGACGCAGGTTCACCCGCCCGTTGTCCCAGTGACGTTGGGAGCTGCTGCCGTCTCCAGCAGGTGTGGGGCAGTGGGCCTGTGAGACTGGACGGGCTGCCCGAGGGGGCAGCAGACTGTCCCCCTTGGCAAGGACTGGTGGGCGCCGGGTGCTAGGGTCCCGGCGGGGGGGTGGGTGTGGGTTCTCGGAGAAG